CTCTCGGAGTTCGAAAAACTTCTTGTACAGGCTCTGATTCATCATTGATCAAAATGGAAAATGCGTCTTCAGTTTGTCGAACATAATCGCTTTATCTTGCTTGTTAGAAATTCAGATAAATGGTTTCGAGTTCCATAGCAATATTTATTTATTTATTTATTTTGACACAATACTTAGTCTATGATGGTGTATGCATTCAGGTATATCAAGACAAAGGTTTGAGAGACAAAGAAAGGTACAGAACTGAAATGTCAGAGTACAAGACATCACAGCACCCCCCAGCTTAACAAATATCGACTTGTAGGAGTTTCTTGGGACGTTTAATAATGGCATTTGCCTTTATTTTCTGGTTTTTTTGGGCATGTCATTACCAAATTTAGAGAGTGAACTGTAGAAAAGATTTTCGATCCTAATTTCAAGTTAACATTTAAAAAAAAAGAAAATTGCACTCGTCGAGGGTGTGTATCGTATCGGCCGTGAAGTGATGGATGATTGATGTCACAAGTGATGATTTTTTTTTTTTTAAAAAAATCAAGTTAAAATATTGGAAAATGCTACAGTACCGTTACGGAATTATTCCGTCGAGTTTGTAGCCGTTAGATTATCATGTAACCGTCGAGATAGTTGATCTAATGGTTGCAAACTCTGACGGAATGGTTTCATAACGAGACCGTAGTATCTCTCTAAAATATTAATGTCGTATACATTTGAAAATAAATGATGAATTTGAACATTATTTTACATACGCATAATAAATTAGAAAAGGTGTAATACTTTATATTATCTACGTAGAAATAAAAACTAAAATTTTGCTTAAAATTTTTAAAATTATTTAACTTGGTAATTTATTTATTTATTTTTTGTAACTTTTCAAAAATTTGGCTCAAGAAATTAGTTAATCAATTTATGGTATAAAGTTAGCCAAATTAATAAATATGGCTTTGTTATAAAGTGAGTGATTTTATTTGAGGTATCTGATGAATATTTTTATTTTTGGCTGGAAATGAGTTGTATTAATAAATATTTGAATTTATAGTGTAAAATAAGCGATTTTTATTTGGTATGAAATGTCCAAATGTAAATGGTATGAATTTTATTTGGTATAGATAAAAGTGTATTTGAAAATTCTGAAAACAAAATAATTGGTATAGATATTATTTGGTATGAGAATGAAAGTCAAATTTTAGGTTAATTTGTTATAAAATCAAGATGATATGATTCTCAAATTTCAGCCTATTCCCATAATAACTGTCATAAAATATTGATGATAACTCGACATATTGATATGTATTCCTCTTGAAAATTATAAAGATCTTTGAACAAATATTGATTAATAAAATGTATAATTTGATTCTAGATAATTAGTTGATAATTTAAACAAGTAACCGACAACAAATCTAGAAAGTTGAAAATATATAAGGAAATTTTGTGTGTAGTCCAAATTTTAGTTCCAAATTTAGAAGTCAGATATCTAATTATTTATAACATACGGGTTAATATTAACTTTGATGTAAATGGAATAGTCAATTATTTATACCTTAATAAATTACTCAACTACTTAATTTTTTTTATTTGGATAGTTTATACAAAGCTAAATTCATTTTAGTTAATGAAATAATATAACTTTCATAATTATACTTATTCTTCACATAGATTTAAAATTTTACTAAAATAATTATTTTATGGAATCACATTGTAGTCAAATCGCATTGTTGAATAATATTTTTAAAATGATACTTATTTTGAAATGAATATAATATAATTTATTATCAGTTACATCCACCGTACGAGTTGTGTACTAATTTTAATTAGACATATTTTATGTAATTTTGTACATTTTCAATATATTAATATAGACAAATTGTATTATATATTGATTCTATATTTTTAATTTATAATTATTATTTAATGAGTATTCTTAATTTATAAATATTAATGAATATCTCTTAATCGTGCATTGTACGGGATTCATACTGGTAAATAAAATATATGGATAGCATGGATTACGATTTACAGTACACGATTGAAAGTTATAATACACTACAATTTTGTTTACCTAAATAATAATAAATTGATATATAAATAAGGCAGAATTGCTTCTAATGTTACTGACATTTTTCAAGATTGCAATTTAATCATAATATTTTCACATTTGCAAGTGAAATCACATAAGATCTTCTAGATCCACTTAAATCTTCTAAGATATTCTAGAAGATATGATTTATTTACTAAGAATAAGGATTTGACACTTGGTATTATTTGATTGGTCAAGAATTAAAATATCAATTAACTAACTATTTAAATTTAGGAATTAAATATATGGAAATTCCTAAAATATAAATAGAAAATATGACTTGATTTTTACTTCCTCCATTTTCTATTAATTGTTGTTGGAGGGTACGTTTCTTTTTTTCTTATTAATTATCATTCAGTAGAGTTAGGGTTTAAAAGATGAAAAGTTACAGGCAAAACTTTTTATTGATAAGTACAAAATTGAGGAGAGAGAGAGAGAAAAAAAATACTACTAAAATTTAGGAGAGTTAAGAGATGTAGAATGACAAATTAACTACTTCCTTCAAACACGTAATTTTGTTTTTTCCAGCTACAACGACAAGTAATTTAAAACAGAGGGAGTAATAAATTAATTTCCACGTGGTGCCATTTGATTGGACATAAATTTTATGCATCTACAAATGCCCCCTCGTGACTTGTTCACGGACAACGTGTCTTGGAGTGAATGAGTGGCGACTTTCATTTCTGCTATATGATTGGGTCAATTATTGGACATCTTATAAAAGATTTTGACATAAAGTAGTATTGGGCTCAAGTATTTCCAAACTCCAAACTCATTGCCTTGGGCTGTCTTATAAGATTTTGACAAACTACGGGCTCAAGTATTTCCAAACTCATTGCCCATTTTCCAAGCAATTAAAGAGATAAATGGCCCAATCTCATTTCAAAATCTATTACACCAAACCCAAAAAAATAAATAAAAAACTAGCCCACTTAATTATAAGGAAACATAACACATCATAGTGATTTGATAACTTCTCCTAATCAAATTGTAAGTCCTCTCTATGGTAGGATACACACAGCCTTTTAGCATCTATAAAAAGGCCTCATCTTCTCCATTCTTTTCTTTTCACATCCGAAGCAACAGGTTGGTTTTTT